AAAAGAATAGCTTTTTTATATGATGAAGAAGGATTGCACTGTCATTTAAGTTTAATTAAACTTAATCAAATGATTAAAAAATTTCTTAATATTGATATTATAGTAATTAAAGAAGATAATCATTTTAAGATTAATGAGTTAATTATTAATGATGATTTAATCTGTAAAGTGTTTGATAAACATCATCAAAGTTGTAGATTTATAACCAATGACTTATATTCTGCTATATTTAGTTTTATTTGCTCACAAAACAATAATATTCAAAGAATTACTAAATTGGTAAGTTTTATCTATTCACTTGGAGAACCAATTAAGTATAAAAATATAACATTTAACAAATTTCCTAAATTGGATAAATTATTTGATTTTGACTTATTAAAGGATAAAAAATTTGATTATAGGGCAAGATATGTTGTTGATGCGGCTAAATTTTTAAATGAAACACCAGTTGATAATAACAATATCTCTGATTTGTTAAGGATTAAAGGTGTTGGTCGAAAAGTTTTTGATTGTATCTGTTTAACTTCACTTAGAAAATTTCATTTAGTACCAATTGATATTCACGTGTTTAAATGGTCTAAAGTATTTTTTAAATTATTTTTTAACAGCTTAACACAGAAGAATTACCAACAAATACAACGTGAATGGTCTAATAAGTTTGGTCGGTATGCTGGAATAGTTCAACTGTTTATTTTTAAAGAATCAACTTTAAAATAAATTAATTTTTTAACCCATAAAAAGTAAAGCATGGAGAAAAAGAATTTATCTAAACAAGAGAAGCAGGCTAAATATGAAGCTAAACAGAAGAGGTTAGCTGAAGAATCTTTGATTAAGAAACAACCTAAAGAAAAGGTTCAATCAACGAAAGGATATGATTCTGCAGTAGTAGAAGAGAAGTGGATTAAATATTTTAAAGAAAATTTTGAAAATTTTACAGCGAGTTTAGAGAATAATAACAAGGAAGTGTTTTCAATGGTAATACCACCACCAAATATTACAGGATCATTACATATTGGCCATTCGATGACTGTATCGATAGAAGATGCATTAATCAGATATAATAGGCTTAAAGGTAAAGATGTGTTGTTTTTGCCTGGATTAGATCATGCTGGTATTGCCACTCAGAATGTTGTAACAAAAATGTTAGAACGGGAGAATAATGAAAATTTTGATAGAGAGTATAGAATTTCTAGAGCACATGAATGGTCGGACAAATATGGGAGTAAAATATTGGAACAGTTTGATAGATTGGGTGCTTCACTTGATTATAGTAGAAAGATGTTTACTTTAGATTCAAGAGCTAATTCTGCTGTTAATAAGGCATTTATTGAATTGTACAACAAAGGACTTATTTACAGAGATAAAAAGATTGTTAACTGGTGTGGTAAATTAGGAACTACATTGTCAGATTTAGAAGTTAATTATAAAGATATTAAGGGTGGTAGTAAAATTAAAGTTGATGGTTCTGAATATGAATTTGGAATAATGTATTATATTAAATATTACCTAATAAGGAAAAATGATAAAGAAACTTTTGATGTAGATATGAAACAAGATAATCTTCCATTTGTAATAGTTGGTACTACAAGACCTGAAACAATTCTAGGTGATTCGGCTATTTGTATAAATCCAAATGATAAAAGATTTGATAATATCGATTATATATTTGATAATTATCAAAAGTTTAATGAAGAAATTTCTAAAATTAGAAATAAGAAAAATGTTAATATTGATAAGCTTAAAAAAGATTTAAATGAGACGTTAAAGTTAGAAAGAAGTAATAAGTATAAATTAGATAAGATGAGTAATGTTAATGAAACTTGTGAAACTGAAACTGGTTTAATGGCCATTAATCCATTAACTAATAAGTTAATACCTGTCATTAAAGATGCACATGCTGATCCTAATTTGGGAACTGGTGTATTAAAAATAACACCATCACACGATAATATTGATTTTAAATTGGGTATCAAACATAACTTAGAATTTATAAGAATGATGGATAAACACAATAAAATAGATTTTGAGGGATCAGAATATCATGGAATGAGTAGATTTGAAGCAAGAAAATTGATAGTTAGTTATCATTCATGTGTATATTCTCAAGAAAATTATGACCAGATTTTACCATTTTGTTCCAGATCAAATGATATTGTAGAGCCTATGATAAAAGAGCAATGGTGGATGAATTGTAGAAGTATGGCTAAGAAAGCTTTAGATGCAGTTAAAAATGGAGAAATCAAGATGTATCCAGAAGAAGCTAAATCAACATGGTATAGGTGGTTAGAAAACATAAAAGATTGGTGTTTATCAAGACAATTATGGTGGGGACATAAAATACCCGCTTATTACTACTTTAATGAGAAGAATGAGAAGGTTTGGATAGTTTCAGATAATAAAAATGAGGTTGTAAAAAAAATGGAACAGGAAAATGGAACTAGTTTAACACAGGATGAGGATGTGCTCGATACATGGTTTTCTTCAGGATTGTGGCCATTTAGTACGCTTGGATGGGGATGGAATGATAATTCACAATTATTTAAGAAATATTTCCCAAATTCAATGTTAGAAACAGGTTCAGATATTTTATTCTTTTGGATAGCAAGGATGGTAATGTTATCTTATGAACTTATTGGTAGTAAACCATTTGATAAAATACTTTTACATGGAATTGTAAGAGATGCACATGGAAAGAAAATGAGTAAGTCACTTGGTAATGTAATTGATCCAATATTTGTAATTGAGGGTATTTCTAAAGAAGAACTTATAAAAAATATTTCAATAAACGCATCAGCTGATGAAAAGAAGAGAGCTGAAATGTCTATTATTAAAGATTATCCTAATGGTATTCCAAAATGTGGATCTGATGCTTTAAGGTTTGCTTTGTTAAGTTATGCTAATGGAATGAAAGATATTAATTTGGACGTTTTGAGAGTAGCTGGATATTCTCGTTTATGTAACAAGCTTTGGAATGCTTTTAAATTTGTTCAAAGTTCTATTGAAAAGTTTAATACAACAGAGTTGTATTTAAATGAATTAATTATCGACTTTAAACTCAAGAGGCAGCATGTTTGGATCCTTAACAAGCTTAATGTTTGTATTGAATTGATGGATAAAGGATATGAAGAGTATAATTTTATGAGTATTACTCAGGCAATTCACTCAACCTTCCTTTATGATTTTTGTGATGTTTATATTGAATTTTGTAAAGATAGAAGAGATTATGATGTAAAAGTGTTAAGTTACGTATTTTTACAGATTGTGAGACTTTTTAATCCACTAATGCCTTTTATTACCGAAGAAATTCACTATTCATTAACAGGTAAGATAATTAAATCTTATCCTGATCAGTTTAAAATTAGTTCAGATTTAAATGAAAAACTTATTAAGGAATTTGAAAGTGTCATTCAATTATCAAAATTAGTTAATAAGGGAGTTAAAATTGAAATTGATGATTTAACAATATTTGATGATATTAAAAGGTTGGTTAGAAAGAGTTTGCATCAAAATATTAATTTTAATAGTTTTAAATTTGATCAGTCTGATGCATTAGTTAAACAGATGAATGAAATTTTTTATAAAGAAATTTAATAAAATTTTTTAATAAATGATTTCAGTAATGAGCGGTAAAGGTGGGGTTGGAAAATCAACAATGGCAGTCTTTATATCTCATATTATTTATAAACATTTTAACAAAGCAAAAAAAATCCTGTTACTTGATATTGATTTATGTGGTCCTTCTATTTCTACATTGTTAAATAACACAAACTCTATTACTTACGAAAATAATTCTTTTAAACCAATTGAACATGAAAAGAATTTCTTTTTCTTAAGTTTTGGAAATATTTTGAAGGAAAGTGATGCAGTTATTTGGAGAGGACCTAAAAAATCAGCTGTTTTAGAGAAAATTTTAACTAACCTAGTTTCTAATTATGATTATGTAATTGTTGATACACCTCCAGGTATATCTGAAGAACACAATAATCTTTTAAAATATAATCCTCAAATTATTGCAGTTACCTCTTCTCAAAATTTAGCCCTTAACGACACACAAACAACATTAAATTACGCCCTAGAAAATGATTTAAGTGTTATTGGATTGATACAAAATATGACAACTATTAAATGTCATGAGTGTAATAATGAATTTTATCCTTTTGGCAGTGAAGGAGGAAAATTATTAGCTAAAGAATATAATATTGAACTATTGGCTGAATTAAATATGGATGTAAATATATTAAATTCTGTTGAAGATGATACTTTCTATGAAAAATTGATAGAATTTGATGGTTATAATATTTTAAAAGAAGTTTTAAATAATAAATTCTAAATAATTATACTTTTTATTGTTTTTCTTTTTTATTTGATGTTATTTCGATATCAATGGTTTTAAATCATTATATTTCTCCTTTTATATGGGAAACAAACTTAGGAATGCTCTCTTTGAAATATATGTTAGTGAAAAACATTATGTTAAGGATATTAAAATGTGGTATAATGAGTTTAAAAACTTGATTTTAGAGGCAAATTTTATCAATACTAGTAAAAGAACCTGGTTAAACGAATATATTTTTGGTAATTTGGGTGAAATAGTCGATTTGCATGTAGAAATATTTGATGATATGAAAAAGTTATATATAAAGATGAATTTAATAGATCAGAATACAAATGATTTAAATTATAAAGTTAATGTTGATCTTGATATATTATGTATAGGTCAATTAAAAATTTTTATCAAGAAATTTAAAAGATTTGATGAGTATATTGACTATTTTAAAAATTTACCTCACGCTTTGGATGAATATGAAAGGATGTATTACACAGTGGGAATGTTTAAAAAACTAGTTGATAAATTTTTAAGGAAGAGAGGAGTGTTTAATTTAGGATCAAAAAACTTTATTTTAAGACCTATAAATAAGTTATTAAGATATCCATTATTGTTAGAATCTGTTTTAGATAAATTAAAAAATAAAGATTTAAGTATTATATGTAAAAATTTGATAAAACACTTTGATGTTTTGATAGAAAAATCTAATTATAAATATAAAGAATGTTTAGATACTTTAACAAAGTTTAATATTTTATTGATGTACAGATTTAAGAATTTATCAGATTTGTATCCAATAGGGTTATTGTATAAAAATTATACATCAATAGAATATAAATTGACTATAAGAGGAAGATTGCCAAGAGATAAGCTTATTAGAAAAAAGTACGTTATAATTTTAACAAATTGTATATTAATTTGTAAAGAGAATGAAAATAAGTTTGTTAAGAGAATTATTGAAACTAAACCACTCTTTTTTTCTCAGGTATTTTTAGAAGAGAAAAATTCCGATAATGAATTTCAAATTTTGATCAATGATATAAATAATAAAAAAAGACTCGTAACATTTTATTTCAATAACTATGAAGAAAGACAACCAGTAAGTAACTTGTTAAAGAAATTAATTTATAAAACAAAAACAAGGTTGTCTAATCAATTTAAATTGATAAAACTAAATTACATGCCTAAAGATGAAATTATTTCTTCCTTTAAAATTGATAGTTATTTCTTACCTAAACGTGATTTTGTTATTAAAAAAGAACAAGAAACCTTTTCTGATATAAGTTTTTCAAACATTGATGAAAAACTATATTTTAATAAGATAAATCAAAAACGTATATAATAGTAAATAAAGATAACAAAATTTTAGATCTTAAAAAAGAAATGGTTGGTATAACTATCCCAGATGAAAGTTTTTGTTGTTTTTTTAATACACAAACAAATAAGTATTTAAAAGTAAATGACATTAACATCAGAAATCAAATCATTAATGGTTTTATTTTCTCTACAAAAGATGGTCTCTTTATAACAAAAAATAGAAAGTTAAAAAAATTATTAGATTGTTCACCTGACAAATTATTATATGATAATGGCACCAGTCTACTTTACATGAAGATTAATAATGATTTGTATGTAACAAACATCTCATTGAATTTAAATGAACTAAGTATTATACTTGTTGCAAAAAATTTATCAAATTTTTTTACAGGAACATTTTTTAATAAAAAATGTATAGCAATAGAAGAAAATACAAATGAAAATGTAGGATTAGTAAATATAAAAATATTGGAAGTTAAAATAGAAAACGGTTTAGTTTCATTTGTTCAACTACAGTATTTTTATTCAAATAATAATATAAGTGACATAATGTTTTTTTCTAAAACCGTTGTTGTTATAAGTGATAAAGTTTATATAACTGATATTTCTAACAATCAATTAGTGCCGCTTATAGAGGAGAGTGATGCTTTATCAATGTTTATGACTAGAGTACTCCCATTTTATAAAACAAAAAGACTGTTTAAAATTGATGAAGATACGTTTTTGTTGTGTTTTGATAAACTAGCGTTTTATTTAGATTCGTATGGAAAATTTAAGTACAAAGAAATATTGTTTTTATTTGAAGTTGAGTGTAAAGAATTTATGATTTATTCCAGTTATTTGATTTGTCTTTCAAAAGACACCATTTCGATA